AAGATGTATCAGATGATTAATCTTCTGCTTAATATCTTCCAATAATTTCCAAATACCCACAAAAGACAACCCAATCTCCTTTCCATAGCCCATAAGGCTCTTCTTGCAAGTTTTTCCAACCTCCTTTTCTGTCACACTGCTCCTTGGTCCACCTGCCCCCACCCCCTGCCCCTATTCTCCCTAAAGGGAGAAGGATTTATTTTCATTTCAGGCCTCTGCACTAGCTGTTGCCTCTATATGGAACACTTTTCTGGGGTCTTCACCAAGTTGACCCCTGAGGGTCTCACATTAAATGTCACTTTGGGGAGTACCCATACTTGATCACTCTATTTTAACCTAGCTGTTGGCAGCCCTTCTCCATTACTCGCTCTTACATTCTATCTAGTTCATTCTCAGAACTCAATTAACTTCAGAAATAACTTATGCTCTTTTTCAGAAATTATCTTATTTACTAATTGATCACACATAATTGCTTCCCTCCCCCAAGTAGGAGTCAGGCCTTCCTCTGTAGTTTATTGCTGTAGCCAGCACCTGGCATTGTACCTAGAAGGTACAATAGACACTTGTTGGCCTATCACACACCTCTTCTGCTTGATTTTACCAAAATCTCAATTGAAGAAAACCACATTTATAGAGAATTGCCTAAAGAAGTTGTAGTTTGCAAACAAGCAAGCAGAATAAAAACAAAGACACTAAAATAGAGAACAAGGGGATAGTGACCAGAGGGGAGAGGGAAGGGAATTTAAGGGGAAAAAAGGAGGAGGGATTTGGAGGAACAAGTATAAAGGACACAGGGACGAGAACTAAGGGAGGTGGAAATGGGAGGGATGTGGGGAGCACGGGGTGGGGGGGGCTGGGATGGGAGAAATAGAAAACTGTACTTGAAAAATAACTAAATAAAAATTAAAAAAATAAATAAAAATAAAATCTCCATGCTGGAAAAAAAAAAAGTTGTAGTTTGTCCTTTCCTGTATGGTCTAGATATTCTTAAAGCAAACAAGCAAAAAAAACAAAACAAAACAAAAAAACCCAAACCACAAAACAACTCTTGCTCTAAAATAAGGCAGACCAGCAAAGCTACTCACCTGAACCACAGTCTATTGGCTTTGGAATGCTTTCTAACTGGTGCTTTAGTCTTCCTTCACCTAGTAAGTGATATGCTAATTTATAGCCGCAAGATCCTTGGTGCTGCAAAATTAATATGACACTGGCTTTGCTTTATAAGCACCTCAAAGATAAGCTTTTTCTCCAGTGTTTTAAAAAAAGACACTGCTTGTCTTGGTTATCTAATGTTGCTTTCTCTCATAAACAGTACATCACAGAATGGACCAGCTCCTGTCTCTTGGTATGGACTGCTAGAGAAACAAGAACCACCACAGCTTTCTTAATAAATGTACCTTAGCATTTTAAAGATCACCCCCACTTCTAACTTCCTATTATCTTTCCTAGACTTCATGTTCTTTTTGCCTTGCTTCCTCATCCATTTACTTTGTATTTACTCATATGATGAGTTGCTGTAAACATTTTTAGAATATGCCAAGTTAAGTGTCAAGGGCTACAGCAGCAATATACATGAACTAATATGGTTACAGGTGAAAAATTAACTGATTCTAAGAGACAGAATGGGGAATAGATGAGGTAGATCTGTCTATAGACATAGGAGGACAATCATACAAATTAAAAAGAGGAAGAAAGCACAGTTCTCATCTAAGGATAGTGGAGGAGAAATGAGTAAACCAGCTCTTATACTTACTGGTACTTACTGAACATTATTACGTGTCAGATTCAGTGGAAAGCACTTTATAACTTTTATTGCATTTAATCCTCAAAACAATCCTATGAGGTAGATTTCACTATTATCCCCATAAAAAGAATGAAACTAAGGTTCAAAGAGGTTAATTAACCTGCATAAGGTCAGACAGCTGGCATATGGGCCTCTCAGGATTTAGGGGGCACTTGACTGCAGTAAGTAACTTTACTAGAACTCATCTTTCCTTCTTATCTCCTATCTGACAAAACCCCTCTCCTTGAAAGTTCTCTACCTCAATAAACAGAGAAGCATAGTTCCATTAACAAGCATACAGTCACTCGCCTCCAGACACCCGGGATTATCCTTCACCCTTCCCCTCATATCCACTCAGTCATGGATGTCCTGACACTGTCCCTCATAAATTTCTCTCCCACATGTCTACTTCTCTGCATTCCCATTATGTTGGAACCCCCACTAGCTCTTATCAGAATCCAGCAGTATTAGGGGAAAGACAGGATGAATAATAGTGAAGGGCAAGAACTCTGGAGCCAGACTGTGTCATTTTGAACCCAGGCTCTAGAACACAGGTGGCAAACATAGGGCCCGTGGGCTGATTCCAGCCCTCCACCTTGTTTTATCCCACCAGGCATCTTGTTTCTACCAGGTGGCAGTGCCCAGCTCTTTGCCCCTAGTTAAGAAGTAGTTACATTTCTACAGTCCTAAAATTACATTCCGCCCTTTGAGGCTAATGTGGCCCCTGGTGAAAATGAGTTTGACACCCCTGTGCAACCTTGGGCAAGTTACTTAACATCTTCATGTCCTAGTTTCACCTGTAAAGTGGGGAAAATAATTAGAACACTACTTGACATATAACAAATACTGTATAAATTTTAGAAATGGGGAAAGGAACTTCTCACTTTCCCTTCTCTAATTATTCTTCACATAGCAGAGTATAGTGGTCAAATTTAATGCAAATCTAATCACAACAGACCAATGTTAAAAACTTTTAATGATTTTCCAATGCCCTCAGAAATCCCCTGCTGATACTTTACACCAGTCAGAATGGCCATTATAAACAAAGCAACAAACAACAAATGTTGGAGAGGTTGTGGGGAAAAGGGGACCCTAGTTCACTGTTGGTGGGATTGCAGACTGATAGAACCATTATGGAAAACACCAAGGAATTTTCTAAGAAAACTAAAAATGAATATGCCTTTTGACCCAGCAATTCCACTGCTAGGAGTAAAACCTAAGAACCCTGAAACACCAATCCAAAAGAACCTATGCATCCCAATATTCATAGCAGCATAATTTACAATAGCCAAGTGTTGAAAGCAACCTAGGTGCCCATCAGTAAATGAATGGATCCAAAAACTATGGTACATTTACAAAATGGAATTCTATGCAGCAGAAGAAAAAGAAGGAGCTCCTACCCTTTGCTACAGCATGGATGGAACTGGAAAGCATTATGCAGAGTGAAATAAGCCAGGCGGTGAAAGACAAATACCATATGATCTCACTTTTAACAGGAAGCTAAACAACCAAACAAACAAGCAAGCAAAATATAGCCAAAGACACTGAAATAGAGAACAGGCTGACAGTGACCACAGGGGAGAGGGGAGGGAATTTCAGGGGAAAGGGGGAAGAATTCACAGGAACAAGTATAAAGGACACATGGACAAAAACTAATGGGGGGGGCGGGGAGCACTGGGGTGGGCGGGCTGGGTTGGGAGTAAAAGAGAACTGTACTTGAACAATAATAAAAATATAAAAAATAAAAGGAAAAAGAAAGAAATCTCTTGCTCATAGTTTTCTAAGTTCTAGCCAATATTTGCCATCTTTGAGTTCTCCCAACACTTTGGGGCCTTTGCACAAGTCATTCCCCACCTGGAACACCAGTCCCACTATATCTATTCATCCTTTATAATGGGATTAAGGGTAACTTTTTCAAGGAGGCTTTCTGATCTCCGAGAATGATTAAAGAAATCTTTGTTACAAGCTTCTACAGTTCCCAACCTTGTACTTCCCCTACAGTAACAGTGGCCAAAAACTATTATCCAATGTCTTTCCCACCAGACTGTAACCTCAGAAGGGGCAAAAGGTCTTGCCAGTTGGTTCTGGGCTGTAAGCCTAAAGCCTAGACCAGGTGGGATGAACATCTACTGAATCAATGAAACTGGAATAAGCAAGTTAAATTTTCCCATGAAGTTCCTGGATCTTTAAGATCACCCATGTCCCCACTACTCCTTATCACACCCACAAATTTGGGCCTATTACTCTTCTGCCCATTTCTGTGGAGACCTGTCTATCCCCAACTCTTCAAAAGTGTCCTCTCCACTGGTAGCTATGGTTACTAGTTATTCTCTCCTCAAATAAACAGCGCCCTTATGCGTCCCCTTCCCAGATGTTAAAGGACTTCCTTCCTAACTGGACGGCTTCTTGGGTTCTCCCTCCAGCTACCCATCATGCCAGTCCACCTTCCCCGAGGAATCAACCTCTCACACCAGCTCTCAAACCTCCCTGTGGGCCCCTCCTCACACCGGTCACCTTCCTAAACTGCCGTCACAACTTTCCAGCCTCTGCCCCTCCCCCACTCCAGCGGATGAAGCTCCCCCCGCAAATCTTTAAAGATCTACCCTAGGTAGCCTCATCCCTACACTTGCCCCTCACCGGCTGTCGTTCGGATGCGGCTCACACCAAGTCTAAAATACTCTCCCGGCGCTCTTTCCTCCCCACCCCCCACCCCAGGGCCAGTTCCGGGCCTCACTGCGCTTCACCCCAAGGTGAGGGACCCTTCCCATTCTGTCCAGAGGACTCCACCAGGTGTCACACTCTGTACGGTGTCACCCTCGGTACGAACCCCCCTGCACACCAGTCCTGGACCTTCTCTACTCCCGGCCTGCCCCAACTCCGCCCCATCCCCGGATTCCCACTGCTTCCCGCCTTCCACGCGACCGGCGGACTCAGGGTGCGGCTCCTCACAGCCCACCACCACACCGAGCACTCCCTCGGCACAGCCCCCACAGCCCGGACCTCTTCCGTGCTCCACCCGCCCACGTGCGTCCCAGGCGCCCGACCACCCAGCCCGCACAGCCTTATCTGGCCCGGCGCGGCTTCCAGGGAGCTGCCCGGGGAGTCCGCGCAGCCCCGGGGGGTTGCGCAGGGAGGCCAGGGGCTCCCGGGATTCTCTGAAGCAGTGGTGCAGGCCGCGGCTCCTGGGAGCCGGCCAAGGTGGCAGGAGCGGCCTCACCGTCAGTCACGGCTCCCATGGCGTGCAAGGCGGCGGCGGCGGCGGCGCAGGCTGAGGCGGCGGTTGGCGGCGGCGGAGGTCAAACTCCCACAATGCAGCCGGGTAAACAGCCATGGAGGCGGAGGCGGCGGCGCCCGCGGCCGCCCGCTCCGACGCCTGAGCGGCTCAGCGCCGCGCCGCGCCGCCGCGCGACCGGAGCTCCTCTTGCTGCCCGCACTCCCCGGGGGCGGCTGCGGCCGGCGCGTGTGGGAGCCTGGTCAGGAGGGCTGCAGCCGGGGCAGCAGCCCGGTCCCCGCCGCCCCCGCCCGGCCCACGCCCAGAGGCCGCCCGGGAGGCCGATGCCGGGAGCCAGGTGAGATCTCTGGGTGGGTCTGTGCGGCAGGGGCTGCGAGCAGCCCTGAAGTCATGGCCCTACGCCTTCCGGGGAAAGGAGACCGCGGCGCCGGCCGCCCCATCGGTGCTGCCACTGTTGGGGTGTGCTCGTTCCCTAGGGGGTGGGGAGGGCGGCGAGGGCGCCTGGATTCAGCTGAGCCGGGGGGACGTGGAACAGGGACGTTGCGCGAGGGTCCCGCGAAGTTAGCGTCCACGCGTGCCCGGGAGGGTCTCCAATGCGCGCAGTTGCGACCTGCACGCCAGGCGATTGAATAAGGCCCCTCGGCCAGGTGGCGCGGAGCGGGCCCCAGCGGCCGCCGGTACTCCCGGGGTTGCCAGCGGGTGCTAGGAAAAGGGGAAGGAGAAACTTGGCGACCTCCGAGCGGAGCTCGCTGCTCGACTGAGAGCGTCCTACCCGGCGTCGGGGTCCTGTAGCTGATCAGGGACGGGGTGCTTTTATTCACTTTACTCTTTGGTTTTTCGAAAAATGTCTTTGTGACTGTTCCCATCTTAAGGGGAAGTTGAAAGTGAAGGAGGAGGGAGGTACTTAATGAGAAACCTTGAGTTGTGTGTAGAGTTACACATTTCCGGAACACACTGAGGATTACATTGACATCTCTTCCCAAAAGTCACTTTGATTCAGTTTCGATGAGTTTCTCCCAAAGGGCAACCTTTAGGTGATAAGAGGTTGAGGAGAAGCAAGCGCCGATTCAACTGGCTTTATCTCCATTGGGATAGATTCAGCTAGCTACAACAGCCTGAGTTTCGAACCGAGGTTTGATATTTTATTGAGCGTAGAAGTACTTTCCGATTTTCCTGTCCCCCAAGTATCCTGCCTCTTCATTTCCGTGATGAAACAATTATGTAGGATGGATCTGGCTGTTCCAGTTTCCTTTCTGAAGTTGGATTCATTCTCCCTGTTTGTCTCAGGTCTTTCAAAAGGGGAAAGTTGTCAATGAAAGTGAAGTGTGTTTAATTTAACCTTTAGCTAGAAACCAGTATATGTGAAATTTTATTCATATATATGAGGTCGAAATTTCAGTAATGCTCTTGAACAGTACTTTGAAGAGTTAGTATCTTTAACTTTTGGCAGAGAGCCCCCCCCCCCCAAAAAAAAAAAGTTAGCTTTGAGTGAAGATTCTGAGGTATAACTCTCCCCTCCAGGGTGGGAATCCTTCCCTGGCTTAATAATACTGGCCAAAATACTTGCTGCCCCCCCCCCTTTTTTTTGGTTTTAGAAGAAGAGAAGATACTGTAACCAAAAGAATTACTCAAAATCTTAAGTACTACACGTTATAAATCAAAAGTATTAACTGATTATCTGTGTATCCCAAGTAGCACTTTGGTCAGGATAATTATTGTTTAAAAGGTAATCGTCAAGTGGTGAAATGAAGTTCTTGTTTAAGTTACTTGATAACTAGTCTTATCAGGGTGCTGATTTGAAACAGTGTCTAGTGATTCAAAATAATCTTTAATGTGTATAGACAAGTATCCTGCCCCCTGCAATTAAATTTTCATGAGACATTCTATTCATAGATGGAATCCTGGCTGCTTTTGTAAGGTCCTTTTGTAACTTACATATTGGACAGTTCTAGAAATGTTCTAAAGTGATAGTTGACCAAGAGAGATTGGGAAAACGTTAGAGTTTGAGATGTATCTGAAAATAAACATTTCTGAAAGTTCTTGACTCAAGTGATGGGAAACACATCATAACTTGAACCTTTATGAACTTTTAAAGATCTGCTTTATCAGCCACATAATTTAACTCCCAATTCCATTGACACATATCTATGTGTTGAATATTTAAGAATTTTAACAGATTTTATATCATATATAGTGAAAGAACACCTTTTAGTAAATTTTAGAAATGGTCTCTTTTTCATGTGATCAATAATAATATATCAACATGTTCATGAATGTGAAAGTAGAAAGGACTCAAGCTCTACTAGGCCATATTAACATTTCTTTTTTTTTTTGCTTTTTAAATTTATTTTTATTTTCTTTTCCTGAGAAACGTCCGAGCAGAAAGAAGTAGCAGATTTTAAGCTATAACAAACTGATTTGGACTTTGGATTTATATGACCTTACATTTGGCGATTTATTCAAGTCATTAGATTCCTGGTTTCTTTGAGACTGTGGCAGTCTATTTGAGAAAGTTTGAGTGTTTATTTAATTTTAGGTTTCTGAAACTATAAAGGATGATGAAAGAACTAGGTAAATGGTCTTTACCCTGGTTCTTTGAAATGATGTAGGCATTTCTATAATATGTGTTCAAAACAAGGGTTATCCTGAGGTCTGTGGACTTCTAGAGTTCATAAATAGGTTTCAAGAGATTCCTGAAACCCCTATTTGTTACCCTGACTTTTTGTGTATGTATATTTTTCTGGGGAAAAGGCCTATCTATAGTTTTTGTTATAAAAGAGGACCAGGGCCTAAAAAAAGTTCAGGTATATATGTTTTTATTAAATAAAATGGGAGTTGGAATAATACTTAAGAGGAAAAGTAGGAAAAGTAGATCTTTGTGTTCAATGCTTGCCTTTTAAAGTTTTCTTTAGCCTAGTCATGTGGTGCAGAAAGACACTTCCATTTGGTTCCCACTGCAAAGTGCTGCCTGTTAGTTGATAAACCACACACATAAAGGCTTGACATGCTATCTTGAGTGTACTATGTCTGTTTTTAAATTATATTTAAAAAACTTAGAAGAGAAAGATTTTTGGTCTATCAGCAGAGACTTGGGTTCGACTTCCAGCTCCTGGAGCAAACATTTCATTCAACTCCACTCTTTAATTACTCCCCAGCAAATTTGAAATTTGACTGGGGGGCAATCACTCTATGAATGTGCTTGTGCCTTGGCAAGACAGCCGGACATAATGGAAAAAATACAGAAAAACACATGTATTTTCTAGTCCATCATCTCTAAAGAGGTTTGCTTACTCCCTGCTTTATGGGATCCTCACTGATACCCCAGGGATTTTATTAGTGGCAGTTACACCTATAACTTTGGTTGTCTAATTCTGGTATCATTAAAAGGCCTTTGCAACTGCTACCTGGACCAGCATTTCTCAATAGGGAAATTGGAAGAACTGAATTGTATTAAGGTAATGAGTAAAAAGTAAGATATATATATATAAATAAAATGCTTATAATATCATGGCCATAAAGATATAACTTGCTTCTAGTATTTCTGTGGTCTTTTCCTTTCCTTCTCGTTTGTTCCTGGTGAGCATTCATGCCTTCTGTTTTCAAGTGGGGTAGTAGCTATAAACACGGCTTTAGACTCTTGGGTGTTGATAGCCTTAGATTGACTTCCATTTCCTTAGCTTTCTGGTTGTGTTCAACTTGAGCCAGTCAGCTCAAGTTGCTGAGTCTTGAAGAGATGACCATTAAATGAGATAATAAAAACAAAAAGCTTTGCCCAGTTCTAGGTTCCTAGTAAATGCTCAAAGGTGGTAGCCATTTTGAGGATGGTTTCATTCTCACCTTTGGAGGAGATAGCTAATACATTCTTTCAAAGTGAAAACTTTTAATTATACCCATTCTTATATAAACCCGGGACCATCCTACTTTCAACTCAGGAAAAGCCTTTTACATCTTTCTGGTTTCCATGGGTGGGTACCCCTGCTTTATAAGACCTGTTAGACCTGTCCCATACACTTAACATTTAGGTTGAATTCTCTGTTAGGCTGGCAATTAAATTCTGGGTATTTCAAGGGCCAAACCAACAAGAACACACAGGTTTGGAGCTGTGATTCATTCAAAACAGCATGATTTTATGGCCCAGAACCGCTGTCAGCAATCTTACTATAAAGGACAAGGTAGTAAATATTTTCAAATTTGCAAGCCGTCCAGGTCTCTGTTGTACTTACTCAACTCCATCAGTGAATCTAGAAAGCAGTCATAAACATAAGGGAATGGGCATGGCTGTGTTCCGGTAAAATATTGTGGACACTAACATTTAAATTTCATGAAATTTTATGTGCCATGAAATATTTTACTTTTTCAGCCATTTAAAAGTGTAAAAGCCATTCTGGGGTCATGGTGTTGTATGGGCAAGCAACTGGATTTGACCCATTGAATGTGTTTTGCCTAGAAAAATATTGGACTTGTCAGTCCTATAGATTTGTGGCATCACCAAGCAATTCTCATTCTCCACACACAGAGCCATTTGCCACTTCAGGTATTTCATGCATAATCTAATGCTCCATCTCCCCATTAGGATGGAACTCAAGTATGTTGTTATTAATTATAATGTATGGCCTTCTTAGCACACATTTTGTACTGTATGACCGGTAAATTTTATTTATTGCTAAAAAAGTTCTCACCATTTAGTTTTTTTGTAGAACTTGGTGATTGCACCTTGTCCTGAGTAATGGCTTTGTAGGCAATCAGTGCCTTTGGAGGTGCCCTATGCTTCAAGTTCCTCTTATTCTCCCCTAGCCCTGGAGGGGAAGTAATTTATACTAGGCCCTCAGGTTGCTAACTGGACACTTTTATGTTAAGGAAATCTTTATTCAGCCTCCCTCACCCTCTTTCTGCATGATGTTTGGTTAAATAAAGCACACAAAGATTCCTCTTGCGCTCTAACCCCCAGAGATTAGCTCCAGAATTAGTGTGTACAAAGCATGTAGATGTATATGTCTTTGTTTAATTTCATCTAGCCATCACTGAAGCTCTGAGGGATGCTGCTTTTAGTTTCACCTTTTTCTCTTCAGTGACCCTTCTCTCACGGCCATTATAT